AGTCTTTGAAACCCTGAAGAACAGTTTGGAATCAACTTCATGACAGTGGGTCTGTTCCTTTTCAAATATATCTATTGCTTTAATCTTCATTTTAATTTTATATTTCTATAATGTTTCCCAAAAATCCTTCATGTAAAATAACTTACCTTTTTCGATTCCCCATAGAGGGGAGGGTGAGTTAATGATTCAAAGAATGACTGTCTATCATACAAGAGAACACAGGCTCAGAATCACACAGACCCTGGTTTAAATCTTAGCTCTGTCACTTACTACCTGTCTGACTTCGGCAATCTTTTTTTTTGTAGTTGTTTGATAAACATATCTCACAGAGTCCAAAATATCCATTCACGTTCAATTCTGTCATTCAATCCCATTGAGTGAGGTTATACAATCACCATTGCTATCAGATCCTGACTCCCTCCCTCCCCCACCTTTCCCATACCCTCAGGGAACCATTACTCCTGTTACTGTTTCTGAAGGGTTCTGTTCTGAAGGTAGACTTTCATGTACTGCATAATATGCAGATCTGACTTGATTAATGAGGTTAAAAAAAGTAAAACCCATAATAGTAAGGGGAGGAAATATTTATGAACTAGAGGATAGTTATGTGGTTCATCAGTGCCATACTGCACCCTGAATTTATCGTTCATTCCATGTGACCCTTCTGAGAGGGACTGCCCAATTATTTTGCAGGTGGGTTTGGGGACTCTACTACATCCACTCCCCTTCATATTGATTTGGTTGTGTGTTTTTGGACTTCTGATACCTCATCCCTTTGACACCCCATGATCACGTGGGCTGGTCTGCTTCTTCCATGTGGGCTTTGTTGCTTCCCTGCTAGATGGTTTGGCCAATCTTTTGACTTCTCTGGACCTTACTTTCTCATTTGTGAAATGATGTTACAATAATATGTTTCTTATAATAGGCCATGTACTCTACCTGGATAAGGAGGTATAACCAAGACTCAAAGTTCTCTGACTTTAACGTTTGAAAAATAGCCATTATGTTGTATGGCCCACAGCCCATCCGAATTGGAAGGGTTTCTTTTCTAACCCCCAAAGGATTGTGTGGAGTAGAAATGGAGTCTATACGTACAGAATGGGGAAATGTAGGTGCATATCTATCACCAGGCAGGAGGCAGCTAAGCGTAAACACTAGGCTACTCAGGGAATTCTCATAGGGAGCATCAGTCCTTGCAGAGAGGGAAAGAATC